CTGTTCTAGTACTGAGGGCAAACACGTCAGCTGGGCCTTGTGTTACCCACCAGCCACCCCTTTCACAATTCAGCCTTGAACTGCCATTTGCCTCCCCGCATGCTGCAGCAGCACACGGCCAACTAAATTTCACTCTTACTGAAAATAGTAGAGTTACTATCCATGCCAAAGCAATACAAACATATAATCAAGCATGTAATATATAATACAAACATGCAAATATATATATACATACACAAGTTATTGTAATTGTGTAACTTTTCAATAGTGTTGATGTAATGGCAATATAGAAACACATCAGTAAGCGGAATGACATAAGAAATGGGTGAAAGGCAAACCAGGTGGGGGGTAAAAGGAAGAGAAATTATCTAAGCAAAAAAAAAAGAAGCTGCCAACTTCAGCAGAACCCAAGAGCATCTTTACTTGAGAGTATAAAAGTTCCTCCTTTTACATGCAATGGGGCAGGAACATCTTCTACATGGAAGTCTAGTCCTGTTCCTCTTGAACTTTTCCCTCAGACAAAGGGGACCTAAGGTTTGGCTTCACAAATGATCTTAAGAAGGTCAAGCTTGAGTAAATGAGGTTCAAGGCAAATAAAAAATTCCAACTCTTCTTCATTGCAACAGCTGTATAAAAGGAGAGATGCAACTGAATGTTTGTTGCAGGTTCTTTGAACCTGCAAGGCAGGACAGGTAAATATAACATAATGGCAGCCTTCTGCTTTGCACTTTCCAGTGAATGCATACCAGACTAAGGATGGTCAAAAAAAGAAGAATTTTCAGTAAACAGAGCTTTGTAGATTGTGATTCCTGCTTCTGCATCTGACCTTCAGCAAGTTGCTTAGTCCCAGTCTTTCAGTATTTAACCTTCCCTGTTGTGGGGCATGAGGGAGAGCTGAAAGGAGGACTGTTTCTAAGGATTAGGAGGTGGCACATTACTCTGAGGTGAATGCTATATGGCTGACACTAGCAGGAGATGGCTCCCAGGCCACATGAAATGCAATTGCAGAAACAGCATAAGCAGGTGCAAAGGAGAGCAGTTCTGCCAGCTTTAGCTAGTCTGAGCCTGGAAGAGAGAATTTGTGCAGTGCAACTGGGGGCCTAGAGCTATGCTGTTCCCTCCAGGCAAAGATACCTACCGTTGACAAAGATACCTTAAGACAGGGGTGGCAAAGCACTGAAGTCAGCTGAAGTCAGCCCTTTTGATGGTGAGCAGTAACAAAACAAGTCCCTTAATCTTTCTAGGCTCTTACGTTTACTGTATATGCTTACATGGTTGCCATCACCTTTCCCAGTTTCTGTACACCCAGATGGGAGGCAAACTGCACTGCCAGCTTGCTTAAGTATGGAATCTAGTGCATCTTGTACAACATGCACTGCAAGTCTGCAGCAAAGCAGGCAACTGAATGCAGGATGCCCTGGTCATAGGCTAATGCTGAAGCAGATGGACTATTCATCCCCAAAGTTAAGCACCCTGTTTCTGCCACATCTGTTGAGGTGCTTGCACTCTGTGTTTGCAGACAGTTATATTTTTCTCTGGTCTGGAGATGGAAGAAGCTTTGAGCAAAAGGATTGGAATGTCTACCTATGGCAACCCTGAGCTATGCAGGGTTGGTCTCTGAGACCCAGTCTTGTTTGTATGGAAGCTTGATTAAAGAAGAGCAAGAAGTTCAAGGGTGTGAAAAACCCTTGTCTGTGTTTAAAATCATTAAACACATTAAGCACCCTGTTATGGTGCTGAGTAGCTAGAGGCCTTTTTGGTTCACAGAGTAGAAGTGGTGCTCGTGTGCTTCAGGGTTGGAGTTTAACAGCAACCATAGTAAGAGCTGAAGCTCTGTTAGTGACAGAGAAGATGTGTGAATGTAGTAGCCAAATATGAACTTCATCCTGCTGTGGGAAGCAAAATTAAAATTCCATCTCCAAGTGTTTCTAGGCAGGAAGGTTTGAAATTGTTTTCCTAAAACAATGTCTAAAGTCTAGGGTGTTTGAATTGATACAGTGTTGTGTTGCCAACTCAAACCTGAAATCCATAAGGAGATCCTTTCCCGAGCCCAGAAAAGAAACCATCTATGGATTTCAGGTAAAATTCTGGACTTCTGAAGAAGGTGCATGTGCCATTGTTCATTGTTTTCTTGGGGATTTTTGTTGGTTTTGGTTTTTGGGGGTTTTTTTGTTGTTTTTCTAAAGAAGATCTAGGTGTCTGAATTTAGTAATTTCTTATTCTTTTGACTTCTAAGACTCAAAATGTGTTGAATATTACCACAATGTAGAGAGATACGTCTGAACTCTGCCTTTTGGGGATCTCTCGTTCTGCTTGTTGCTTCAAGGATGTAGTGAAAGGAACCAGCCATGTATGCAAAGGAATACAAGTAAAATGTTACTAAAAAAGAAAAATGTTTCCAGGTGGGTCTACAAACTCTGCCACTGCAATATTCATATCATGCTAACACGTGATGCTTTCTTGAAGAAGTAGTTCTGAAGTGCATTCTTGTTTCTAAGCTGGCCTCCGTGTGTGGAGTTGCCTTCATTTGCTTGTAGTTACATGTCTAGTCACTACTGACTCTCCCACAGGCAAATTGTAGGGTCATGACCTTGCTCCTATTTAAAGTTTCAGTGGGGAAAGCCAAATGTGGAGGAGCTGTATGTAGTGTTTGGCAGAATCTCAGGTCTTGTGTGTACAGGAATCTTTTTTTCCCATCCAGATTTTACTTTTTAGAGACTCAAATAGAAGTATAAATGTGTTTTTTTTTCCTAAATGATTTCATGAAAAATGTCTATGAAGGTTTAGAAAGCAGCTGGCTTGTCCAAATAATATCTTGGGGAAGGGGAATTGTAATCAGGTCCCTATGGTGCAGTGATTCTTTGGGAAGATGCTGACACCACTTCTGCAAAAGTACAGTAAAAAGTCTTCCTTGTCTGTTTATTGTACTTCCTATGGCAATCTTTATATGGGTTAGTTCAGCTGTCCCAACTAAATTTGCAATCTATGATAAATTCTGGTCTCTTTTTGCCCTTTGTGGTGTGAGTAGGCAAGATCTCAGCTGGTCCCTTTAAACTTAAGGACAAGGTGTGTTTTTTACCTTGACCAAGCTCAGTTGTTTGCTGATGGTATGACCCATACAGTAATTGTTTTTTTGAGACTGTTTCATTCCACTGAAGAGCTAGCTTGAGCTCAGGCCATCTATCTGCCAGATGCCACATCCTGAACCCAATTTCTTATGTGCATTGAGGGCTGTGGAAAGCCTCTTTGTTGCTATCATATCTCCTATAAAATATGTGATTGTGAAAAAAGGCACAGTAATGGGTCTGCTGGGTAAGGTACCTCTGCTTTCATCATGAGGCTGAGTATGTTGGTAAAAGATTTAGGCGGTGACAAGAGTTTCCCAGACTGTAATTTCCTGCTCTGACTGTTCTGTATGCAAAGGATGAAGTATGTCATCCTTGCAGCAGAGTAAGGTGGAACATTGATCTGTTCAGATGCCTGCATCCTAACCTTGAGCTAGAGAGCTGTTCTGCTTCATATATCTTAAAGAATGTGAATAATTCAGTAAATTCAAAATGGGAGACTGTCCAAGAACATATTATGAGGGAAAAAAAGCAGAATTTGGATACACGGGGGATAAAACATCATGGCTTTTGTTTCTTAAGCTGAATGCCTAGTCCCAGGTGGCCGCTGTTTCTCCTCTTTACTGAAAGACTGCCTCAATTTCCCAGTTCAGTGAATAGCTTCTTGGAGAGCCACAAAATACTTCCCAACATATCTCATTTTACCACTTTTGCTTTGCAAATCAACATATGCTGCTGAGTGTGTTGAGGCCAGAAAACAATTAATAGCCAGAAAAAGTACTTCCTTGGCTTGCAGGCAGCTCCCAGATTGTTCCTTTGCCCAGATTAGAGAGGATTTAAGAAGCACACATTCTGTGTATGCTAAACCAGCTCTGCAGAAACCACAGCATACCATCATCCTGCTCTTATCTCTGAATTCCATGGACAGGCAATCTCAGCTGCTCAGCACAGGCTGGCAGCTTTAGCTTGCCAGTAGGTGCTGAAATCCATGTAAGTGTGGAAATGATAGTGACACAACGGCTCAGATGTTATCCCCTTAGCAAAGCCAAAGCAGTTTCCATGGTGATGGAGAAGCTCCAGGCCCCCAGTGATGCAGCTGCTGTGTTGGATGGGATCAGTAGCCTTTTCATACAGAGGCTGCTCTTGTAAAACTTTTGTGTGTTTATGTGGTACTCAGTCATAGGTTGTATCCAGCTCTGGAAAATAAAATGAGGGGTGAGGGGAAGATTTAAATTGACTGAAGTGAGTGCTGACCTTAAAAGGAAACAGGAAAAGAAGGGTGAAAATGTTTCAAGTCTTGAAGTATCCACAAGTGACACATGCATGTGACAGCTTCAGTGGATTTGATACTCTGGTCAGTACTTTTCTGAGATGTTGCGTGCCAACGTTAGTAGCTCCTGAAGTTCTTGTGTCAAGTGGAAGAGTCAGATTCATATTCCCAGGTCTTAACTTTCTTCTGAATAGGATTCAAAATCAGAATGGGTCTCTTTCTTTGTATTGAGATTAGAAATTCCCTAGGACTTGGGAAAGTGGATAATCTTGTGACTTCTGCATCTGAAGCATTAAAATGTCTTACAATTCCCTTGGTCCCCTTTCTGGGTAATAATCTCTCAATGTCTCAGCTCAGGTATGTGGAATTAATTACATACTTTTCCTCTGGGATCTTACAGCCTGTGCTTTCACTTTCTTATTGCTGAGACAGCAGATACAACATCTCCAGGTTCCCACACTGGAAATGCCCATTTTGCACTTCTGCTTTGATCTTCTATTAACCTGTGCTTTGTGGGTGCTGCAGCACATGTGTAGGAATTGTGTGTAAAACTGCTCAATTAAAATAATAGTTTGATCATTTGGACCCAGATTTTTAGTGGTTTTAAGCATTGGTTGCTCTCCTCTGAAATAGGTACTAAAAGAGATTTGTATTCTGTCTTTCAGGTGGTGCAGGGGACCGGGAAAAGATGCCTGTCAATCATGAGGCTTTCCTGCTCATGGCTAATTCCCAGAACGAAATGGAAGATTGGGTAAAAGCCATCCGACGGGTTATATGGGCTCCATTTGGTGGAGGTATTGCAAATAGCTCACATGCACATAAATTAAAACATTTGCCTCAAGGTAAAACATATTCTTGTGATATTAGGATATGTGTAACACTGTAAAATCACTGAGATGTCTAGATAAGCTCTTGATTGTCTGGAGTGTTTTGAAGCAAGGAGATTGGGTTGATTTCACCCCCCCCTCCTCCTGCCAGGGGATGGACAGGAATGGAAGGGCACATGCAGACTGTATAACTGACTCAGAAATGGGTGGTGATAACAAACATATTGCTATTGTCACTACTCAGTTCTTTACAGCAAATTATTCTGTGGAGCTTTTGTATCCTTATGGACATGAAGGAGTCTATCCAGTTGTCTCGGTTTTCTTCCATAAGGGCAGATGCCCATCTTGAACATCCATACCAGCCAGAGGCAGCAACAATTTTAATCTAGTTAACGTAGGGCCCAGTTGAGAAGGCAAAGCTTTCACTGGCTTTAGTGGGGGTTGTAGCCTGAGGAAGAACAGGGTCAGGCTGAGTGAACACCTGTAAGGTAATACAGCTGCTGACAATTCCTGTAGTTAAAATGAACAAAAAATCCAGACTCTTGGTATTGATATTGTACCATAGTCTTAGAATTCTCAACTCAGTAGATTAGATGGGAGTTGTTTATGTGGTTTAGCATAGAACAAGGGTTCATAGTTGTTTTCTTCTGAGTTCATGTTAGTGACAGCAGCTGCTGGCTTGGTACTGGACACTGGGCTTTGAAGTGACTTGCATGTTACTGATGGAGTTCATGCAAATAGTGTTATCATATGCAGATAGTGCTGTCGACATCTTTTGAGGGGTACAGATAAAAAAGTGCCAGATAAGGGTTAGGTAATACAATTACTTTTGCAGAAATGAAGTTACTAGTTTTCCTGGATGTAGGGGTGAGAAAAGTGACCTTGATGCAATTGAGGGAGGCTCAAATACCACAAGGTCACTAAGAAGACCTGGTGTTTGTTAGTAGCTTTTATCTTGTTGGGTTTTGGTTTGTTTTTTTTTCCTTTTTCCTTTCAAGTGACTCTTGAAATTTGGAGTTTCTGTGTAGCAGCATTTGCTTTGCCTGGAGGAGATAAAATCTCTACTGATGCAATTTTTTCCTAGATCCTTCTTTCACTTAGCAGAAAGGGCGTATGTACAAAAGTTTGCTTGTATCTGATCTGAGAGGTTGTGTGTGATGCTGTTGTGCTGTGGGCAGAACAAGCCCTCTTCATAGCAGAAACGGGTCTACCGTGATTTCTCCTCAAACATGAATCTGTGCTTGTTTTGCTTTCACTCTGAATTCCAGTCCACAATGAAGGGTCTTTTAGTCTCTGAGCTCAGTGCAAGTCTTCCATCAGAAGTCTCAGAATCTGAGTTGGTATTTCTGCGGCCATTTGTAGTGGACCTTATAGTGTGTATTTTACAGCTTTGCAATGTGCATCCAAGAAATACTGTGAGGAAAAAGGAGAACAGTCATGACAAATGCTACATGTTCTAGCAACAGCCATCTTTAGGGCATGTTTTGTCAGCACTGCGGGTATCAGTGCAAATTTGGCTTGTTTTTTTGCTCATGTTTTGAACAGTCTCTTGAAGTAGTTTCAGAGCAAACATCTTTAAGTATTAAAATAATAAATAATTAAAAATCCCAATATTTTAAAAACAAAAACATCAGAATGGCATAAAAGTAGGGATGGACTTCCTTTTTTTTGTTTGTCTGTTTAAGGGGTAGTATTGTCCTAATAAATATGCTATTCTTCTGTACCTCTAAACTTCTCTGCAAAACTATCAGATAACATTTTGTTTTTTCTTTAAATGAGGCAGATACTGTTACTCTTACACTGATTCCAGGAACTGGGACTTTATGAGATACCATAGAACCATAAAATGAAATCATGAGGATGTGGAAGTGGGCAGGGGCACTACAGCAGTGCAAGGGGGAATACAGCAGCTTCTGTTTGTTACTCTTTTCACATGCTGCAGATTTGATCTCATTCCATCAATGTCAGTGTAAAGGCTGCTTCGGATGTCAGTGAGAGCTGGCTTAAGCCCTGTGGAAGAGAAGCGCTGCTATTTGCGGAGTTGGAAATAAGTGCAATTATATATTGATTTTTCCTGTCTGTGGATTAAAACTACACAAGAATATGGGTACATCCCGGACAATCAGTCTGACCTGAGCTCTCTGCCTTAATACTGAAATGCAGCAGACTGAGGCTAGCTTGGCTATGCCTGCTTTGTAGTCCAAGCTGCACGGGCAGATTCTTATGCTGTGGTCACTTCTCTGAGCTGACAGAAGTACTAAACACTGTCAGGGGTGGGTTTTTTCTCCCATTGCAACCATGGCTTCCCATCAGGTTTCATTTTGCTCACACTAGTGGTTACACAGCTGTGCAGTAGGAAATGACCTGGCAGGGAAAAAAAAGGGTGGAGGATTAGTCTGAAAGTAGATTGATTCCTTGGTCCTGCTAACCATGCAGCTGCAAGACTAGTAGTTCCAACACAATAAGCACATGGGGGAGAGATGATGGGGTAGAGGAGGGCATGCTTGTTCATTCTGATTGCAACCCACACTTAAATTGGCTTAAAGAACTGTGGAGCTGCATCCTCAGTTTCTTTGCACTTTGCAAAGAATTCATAGGAATGTCAATAACTATGAAACAGTGAAGATGTTCAAACCAATTTTTCCAAATGGTTTTTAGGCAGTCTGGAGAAATGATCAAACTTACACCTTCTCCATCAGAATCAGAGCAGGGCAATTTCTCTGAGTGAGATTGCAGCTTAATTCAAATGTGGGAGGACAATAAACATAGCTGTCTCTGTTTTAATTGAATAATTTGAACTCTGCTTTGCTACCACCACTAATTGGAGAGCCAAGTCTTATCTATCAACACTATTTAATATATTAAGCTAAAGGGAGGAATTAAAAAGCAGGCTTCATTATTAATATGCAAATATCCAGCCCTGGAGAAGGTTGATATGGTGTAAAAAAAGAATTATGCAAAGATTAAAGGGAGGGGGGGCTTAACCACACTGTAATCTTTGCTGATGTACTGAAGAAACATAAATAAAAAGGGTTGAGGGTACCTTCTTATATGTTGCTGCGAGCACATGAACTGTGCTTAAAGGTCAACAGCAAAGGCTTCTTAAAATAAAACAGAAAACTCCCCAAAGCTGCTGAGGATCCCAAATTATGAATAGGAGACACATTCAGCTTTAAAAGCCATATGGAATGTGTTCTTTGAAATACACTTCAAATGTGGCTTTAAAATAAAATCCTAGAGTTCCTGAGTCTTTTGAAGAAGAGCTGTCTTGTTTACAGGGAAAATAATTTCTAACAAGTTTCCTTGAGTTTCAGGCTCCTTCATTCTTGAGTCTAGCCCATCTCATTCAGACCAGAAGATTTTGTAAACTGAGATTTGAGAGTACTCTGTATGTTTTGATTGTCTTTAAGAAAAAAGTTTGTCACAGTGACTTGATAGAAGTAAGTTTTGGAGCACATTCTGACAGAGGGTGATTAAAACTGTTTCCTGTGGTCCTTTTTACTTCTGTGACAAATTTTTGTTCCAAGTTTACACCACTAAAAGCTTATCTGGAGAGTCCCTCTGTGTCCTACAGTCATGCTGTTCAGCAGCTGTTTTTTCATGTGGAGTGCTTGTAGCAGTGCTATAGTGCTAAATGCAAAGGGTTTGTGGCCATAGGCTTGGGTGAGAATGACCTTGCTAATGTCCTCCAAAGGTGGATGCATTTGGTGTAGTTGGGAGAGAGAGGAGGTCATTCCTAGCTCTGTACATGTAGGGTGGGGCTGTGCTTCTAGTCTGAAGAGGTACAGCCACTAAAAGGAAATCCCTTGTCTTCTACACACCTCTCAGTTGACACTCCTTCCTTATTTTTGTTTCCATCAGCTGTAGAGCAAAATGTGTTTAGGACTGAATTTTTGGCCATGAGATACAAAACCTGGGCTTTTTGGTGCCTGAGTTGAAAGCCAAGTGGCATAACTCTATCTCACAGCTCAGCACACAGCCAACACTCCATGGGGACAGAATAATTCTCTGTTAATCTTGATTTATGTTTGTGTTTGTTTTCTTCTGTTTACATATTCTGTCTTGCCATGAGCAGTTCCTTGCTCCTCTGCCAGAAATACATGTCTTAGCCCCTTTCTTTCTCCATTACTTTATCCTAATTTCTCCTCCTCCTCATCCCAAGCTTTCATCAGTTACTTGTGATGCAGGGGAGGTGAAGTAGTTGGAAGGGATGTGTTTCCCTTAGGCAAACATGGAGAGCTTTACCCTGTGACAAAGTAATTGTGTTGCAAGAGCTTCAGGAAGTTTCTCTGCTCAGGAGGAATAGTCACTGATTAACTGGTGGGGTCTGAGGAACTGTCCACTGAGGAAGCCACTCTACTATCGTTAATTCCATACATCTTTCCCATATAGATAAACCATGATGTGTGGATTCTTTCTTCTTCTGCCAGCAAACAGTGCAGAGAATGTTTTGGGGGTTTTTTTGGCAACCAGGGCCCTGTGCAGACCATGTCTTGTATTAGGGGAGAGCTACGAACTAGAGGACAAGTCTCTGAGGTGTAATTTAATTCCTGGGTCAATGTCCTTATGGGTAAATGGAAGACTAGACCTACATAGGCCTAATTAGGAATCCTGCTTTGGATGAGTAAATGTCTTTCAGATAACACGTGCACGAGAGCAAACATGACCTGTTGTGAAGGGTCAGGTATTGTATTAGGTGCATACCCACCTGGATGCCAGACTGTTTAGAAGCTAGGATTAAGTTTTGGGAGATTTGAGTTTAATTTTTCCACCTGTAAGATGGGAATTTTCCAGTAAGAGCATAATAAGCATAGAGCCATATCAGTGAATTTAAGATGCTAAGATACCACAGTAATGAAGAGCAGAGAGGTGGCTTCTGTTACTTGCCCGGTGTGAAGACAGAGAAGAGGTTTCTGCTCCCTTTCTTGCTAGTGGGCTCCCCCTGACTGACAGTCTCAAGTAGGATTCCTGACTGGGTCAAGAGGCGCCCCTTCACTAGGTGTGAGGGTGGGCTT